GAATGAATGAATGATAAATAACAGAATAAAATTGCACTAACCAGGCGAATATCGTTGATACCGTAAAGGATAGCAGTAAGATTATTTGCTGCCATAATTATTTCTTCTCACGTGTCGAGCACGAGCAGGAAATCAGAAAGCTGGTGTTTCTTCGATGAACACTGACGGAATGAGCACCGAGTGCTCGTCTACTCAAAGCAGAACGTATAAACACTATCCTTATCATCACTCGGCATAAAAAGTCGGTGATTGCAAACCGTTATATCCCGAGAAACATCAGGACTTTATTTTCATTTAGTTTTTTTCTTTTCAAAGTTGATTACAAGCATCGCATGACAAAATGTTACAGATTTCCCGGAGAAAATATCACAATTTTTTCGTCTTCATTAGAATAGAATAGTTTGTAAAAAAATTTGCTAGATTTTTATGTAAACATCTGTCTCATTACCAAAGCAAAATGGATACTTTTCAGGAATTTATTTCAGTACTCATCGAGGCCGACATTAAAAGTAATTGATTCCAAGTCGTTGATTTTCAGGGACATCATAACTTTTCTCTTTTTTTTAAAGTTGCTTACAAACTCCCTTACTACATGATATCTGTTAGCATTAGGAGGAAATATAAGGGTTCCTCTATTGCATGAGTAATTATCGATGAAAAGAAATTGATAAACCTGTTCAGATAATGTGAGCCAAAGTGTCTAATCGCAGATTTTCTACTATTTATAACTGAGCACACATCGGCATTAGTCATTACTTTTTCATATTTTTTAATAATTTCGATAGAAAGATGCAGAATAATATCAAGTTGTCAATTAATAAATTTTCATGTAATGGACATTTTTAATGTACCAGTTAGTGATTGAAAAGTATTATTCAATTTATACTTGAATTTTACTTCTATTATACGAATATAATCGTTTCCATCGGTTGTTATACCACAGTTTAAACTATTCAACTGTAATTTGACATCTTCATTTTTCCGATGCTGCAATTCAGCCGTAAACTTGATAAATTTTAATCGAGAGTTACTGCACAGCAACATGAAAATAAAAGTGTGAAATGGAAATTATCATATATCATTTCTATACTAAAGATCACCATATCATTTCTATACTGAAGACAATGAACAATGTACTAATTTTATCTGTAATTGAAACTTTTAAAAAAATTTCAACAATCCTTTGTCTTCTGCTTTATTCAACAGGAGAAATAATTTTTAATTGTTCCGACGCACTCGTCAATTTCTCCCCAATTTCCTCGAGTTCGTCTTGAAAGGACCTCTAAAGATGTGAATTAATTCCAATCAATTTGTGGATGATAACCGCGTGCGGCCTTCAACCGTCAATTCAGTTACGTCAGTTCTTATCTACAAAACAGAGTAAGTAAACACAAGATTTTGCAAGACTCACAGCTGCAATCAACAGCGCATTGAAACTTTAATAATAAAATACATTTTTAACCGACTTATCATACACAGAGAGGAGATATTTCCGTGGGTTAAAGGAGAACAAGAGATTTTAGTAATTAATCCCCCCCCCAGAATCCACCAGTGGACTGTTGAATGTTGTCCCTGTTGTCTCGTCGAATTCTAGTGGTGGCACTGGCCTCTCCCTTAGCCAGAATCTTTCTCGATTGAGCTTTCTTATTTCTTTTCTGAAGAGCTAGCTTTGCACGCGCCTTAATCACTTCAGGAGGAATTGTCGCTGTGGTCGAGGTGCTTCTGACACTTCTCGAGTCATACTCCAGGTCAGAACTATTTACTGCCATTGAAAGATTGATTAATTCCGGAACGACGTCATCTTCTTCCCTCTGCTGATGAGTCTCAATACTTGTAGTATCTGGGAGTTCTACGGAGCAGATATGTTCGTCTGAAGGCAAATCCTGCTGCTCATCGAAATTATCAGGAAGAATCTCTATGTTCTGATCCTCAGGAGAGTCTACGGCGTTCAGGAGTTCTTCAGGAGTCTCCTCACCCTCTTCGATTCCCATTTCAATCAGCAAATCTTTTTCCATCTGCCTCGTCAGGCCACTTGCTTTTATTTCCACATCAACGCAATCCTCACGACTAAAAAATATTAAATAATAAAGACACAGGACGAAAAAAAAAGAAATCAAAGGTAGTTCGACTTGTTTCCTAGTGGAGTTTGCGGGGAATATCTCATACATAGAGAGGGAGAAAAACTTCAAAAAAGGTCTTTATAAAATTTCCATTAAATCTATTAAATTCCGAAATATTTCTCGAAAAATTACTTAGTTGAATAAATTCATTGCAAGTCATCTTTTTTCACAGTCGAATTTCTGAAAAATATTCCGAAATCCCGAATAGTAGATTCTAAGATCTCCTTCGGTAATTTATCCATTTAGAATTTCAAGTGGTTAAAATTTACCATTGTACAACTGAGATAAATCGTAAAATGGCAGTTTACGTTAATTTTCAACATAATACTCACTCGATATCCTTAAACGATGGATATAGTTCGCTTTCATACCCGAACCTACGTCTGAAGAAGTCCCTAATACATTTCACATCCCTCTCGAAGTAATATTCAGCATTAACGTGTTCAGTGGAAATCATCTGAGGGAAATCTATGACTACAGGTTTTCCCTCATTAGTAATCATGATGTTGAACTCATTGAAATCTCCATGAATAACGCCGTGATTCCCGAATCTCACTATCAGGTCCATTAGTTGATCGTAAAGGTTTTCAACGTTATCTACTTCATGGACTCCACATCTACAAACAAATGCAAAAATCAAAACCATTGATTTTTAGCCGTTTACATTTTTTTTTCATTCCAACCGGAGAGAATTCTGATATTTTGAACATGTTCCAATAATGGTAATCATTGATTTCCGTAAAGTACATTTTAATTATTCTATTTCACTTCCAATTTTTTAATGAATTTGAAGTTTTTGTCGAATATTGTGTTTTCTCCTTTTTAAAAATTGTTTTAAGAAAAACCCCCAAAAAACTTAAACTTTGTTTGCATTGTCCAATAAAAAAATGAAATTTTCTATTCGTAAGTCTCAGTCAAATATTAATTTTTGTTTAATCCAATAGTCTTATTTTTTCACAATTTTTAAATTAAA